AGTTGCACAATACATATACGTGCATGCACATGCACACACCTACCTACATGCACACATGCATGCATACACACACACACACACAACCAGGTGCCCAGCCCCTCTTAAAGTCATTTCTATCGAATCTCCACAGCCTGTGAAATTCAGATTCCCATTTAGAGATTGAGGAAATGAAGACTCGCCTAGCTAAGCAACTGACAGAACTGGGATTCAAACCCAGGTCTGTGTGATTCTAAGTCCCAGGCTCATTTACATTCACCACTGAATGTGGCCACTGGAGCAGAGGTTCTTAACTGAGGTGGGTGGATAGAATGCAGCAGCTCCACGGATGAAAAAAACTTGCATCTTTATTTTCTCCCTACTTCTAACCGAAACTTTGCATTTCCTCCGAATCTGAATGTGGGCAACAAATCTGTACCTGTGACTTTGTCACCAATGGAATCACATTTTCATATATTTCATATGTTGCTGATATCTCAAAATGTCATTTATGTTTATCACAATTTGAAAATGTCAGTAGTTATTAGACCCACTGCAAGATCTTGTCATTTCATGTGTTCACAAAGAAGTGTTGTGGTAGCCAGGTGGCTCCCGGAAAATAAAGCTCTGCTGTGCACCATTTGCTAATTCCCATGGTGTAAATAGTCCTACCACTGCCAATTTCAAGGATGACTATGTTTAACAATTGGTTTGCAAATTTCCTGAAAATTTAATGATTGGTGCTTAAAAGCAGGGACAAGATGGCTCCAGCACGCCACTGGCAATGGAGTGGGTTTAACTGGGTTTGTCATCCTCCCTATAAGTACTTATCTTTCCTAAAACTCCCTTTGGCCTTCAGTATAGTAATGTCAATAATAACAATAATAGATTTGAAATATATATTAAATCCTTAGTCTAAGCACTTAACCAATATCATTTAGTCCATCAACAACCCTTTAAGGCAGATATTATTTTTATTTTTTTTTAATTTTTATTTATTTATGATAGTCACAGAGAGAGAGAGAGAGAGAGGCAGAGACATAGGCAGAGGGACAAGCAGGCTCCATGCACCGGGAGCCCGATGTGGGATTCGATCCCGGGTCTCCAGGATCACGCCCTGGGCCAAAGGCAGGCGCCAAACCGCTGCACCACCCAGGGATCCCTAAGGCAGATATTATTGAAGAGGCTCTCAGTGGAGGCAGGGAGATGTGATTTTACACCTTGGGGACATTTGGCAATATCTGAAGACATTTTTGATTGTCATAACTGGGTTCACTGCTGGCATCTAGTGGGTAGATGCGGCTAACTATCCTACAATGCATAGGACACACACACCACTCAACAAAGAATTATCTAGCTCTAAATGTCATTAGTGCTGGGGAGTTCAGAAATCTTGCATTACTATCAGTCCCATTTTTGAGGTGGGAAAACTGCCGCCCACAGAAATTAATGTGCCCAAGTTCACAGAGCTATCGTACAGTAAGTTATCTGCAAATTCTAATTTCTACTCCCTTACTGCCTCACTAGATATAGGGAAAGGAGCTTACTGGAAAGAAAGCAGCCTGCTGGGGTTAGTCTTGGCAATGGGTGCCTCACAGAGGCTCAAGCACTATATGTTGGAGGATCTAAGCCCAGCTGCTTTTAAAGAGAAGGAGACTTGACCCCAGAAATGATTCCCAAGGTGAGTCAACCAGATGGCCCACTGGGCTGCTTGCAAAGTTCATTTAAGATCATAAAATGGACAGGGGAGGTGAGGATCACTCTGCCACAAATATGTATTAAACATCTACTATGTGCCAGCACTACTCTAGGTGCTGAGGATAGCATAGGGAACAAAACAAAAGTGGCTCTTTCTCTCATGGAGTGTACAATCTGAAGGAACAGAAAAATAAATTTTAAAATGGATTTAAAAATTACAGTTCATGACAGATGCTATCAAGGAAGCAAGTGAGATGCTATGATAAATAATTTTAGGAAGACTTTCTTTAGATAGGGTAGTGTTGGACCCTGGCTCAGGGGTGCCAATGTGTCCCGGTGGACGCCCCAGAGACTCAGACCCCAGACAGGCAGATGCAATCAGCAAGAAGGTTTATTGAACGTTTGCGCAAACGGGCTCCCCGCCTCCGAGGAGGAAAAGAGCCCCGATTAGCAATTACAGGGATCTTTTAAAGGCAAAAGGAAAGAAACCGCCTAAAGACAAAAGAACCGCGGGAGTCGCATGGCATCCAGGTTGATTTCACAGAGGGTCAACATGAACCTATTCAGGGACATTCCAATCAGGGTGTGGGGGGAAATGGTTTTCTTATTGTAAACAGAATGCTTTTAGTTGCTAAAATTTCAGGAAGGCGCCTGGATGGGCTGCCTCTGGATTAGGGCTGGCCCTACTTACAAGGGGGAAGGTTTCTTCATTCCCTCCTCTTGTTTGGGCTGATTTTAACCTTAAAATATTAGGGAACATTTATTTCTTCAGTTTGGAGGGCCCGACATTGCTGAGTTAATACCAGAGCTTGGGTAATAGACAATCTTTCTCGGATGAACTGGAGCAGCCGGTTGAGGACGCAGGGGCCGAAAGTTAGCAGCAGGAGCAGGATAACTAGAGGGCCCAGAATGGTAGAGATTAGGGTGGTCAACCAGGGAGACTGATTAAACCAGCTTTCAAACCAGCCCTGCTGGGCCTCCCGGTCCCTTTGTCTTTTATTTAACCTTTCCCTGAGTTTGGCCATGGAGTCTCTGATGACTCCAGAATGGTCTGCATAGAAACAGCATTCCTCTCCCAGGGCCGCACACAGTCCTCCCTCTTTCAGGAATAGTCAATCCAAGCCTCCCCTGTTTTGAAGTGCTACTTCTGAAAGTGAGGTGAGGGACTGTTCTAGCTTAGAAACGGACTGCGCTAGTGTCCGTAGATCCTCATCTACAGCTGTTTGGAGTTCTATATAACGTCGTGAGCCCTGGATCAGAGCAGCTGCGCCAGTACCCACCCCAGCAGCGACCCCTAGTCCCAACATAACGGCTAAGGTTAGGGAGACAGGTTCGCGCCGAAAACGGGTGGGATGTTTATCATACTGATTTTCTAGAGTTTCAGCAGGGTGATAGAACACCCTGGGTATGATCTGCACCATGACACAGAAGTCGTTTGAGCTATTTAGAACCTTAGCCGACACACAGGGGGTGAGGCCTTTGTTGCATGCCCACCAAGTTCCCGGCTGGGGCTCCAGGTAAGAATCAGTCCCCAAAATCGGGGTGGTAGTGTTGCAGAGTCTCTGGTAGCCCCGGGGTGGGGGGGGTGTTCCTATGCAGGTTCCCTGTCCTGTAACTTCTGTAAGGGTGAATTGTGGTTGGGAGTCGGGTGTGCATCCCTGAGTGCTAGTGATGTTATTATAGGTCCCTGAAGTAGCAATTCCCTCATAATAAGGGGGGGGGGGGGGATGCAAGGCAGAGCCAGCAGGATTTAGTTACATCGGGGCTGGTTCGATTAAGGGCCAGGAATGCCCCTATGATAAGATTAAACAGTCGTTGTCCCGTCTCGGGTGACGACCGAGGGGTTGGAGTGACCGCGAAGTTAGTGGGTGCGGCACTCCCCGCGGCTAGGGCCGGGGCAGCTCTTTGTTCCCTGAGGACCGCGTTAGGCCCGATCGCCACGGGGTCTGGGGATTCTATTTTTAGTTTAATTCTGAATATAAAACCATCATCTGTTCTTTCTTTGTATAACCTGAGTCCCCACGTATATCCATTGGCCCAGTAAGTAGCCCTTTTTCCGGGCTCCGTGAAGGATATCCGTAGGGGATGACACCACCCTTGGCAGGGCCCATAATTAAGGGTTTTTCATTTGCTAAATGTCGGGTGAGTATAGTTAGCCTTGACAGTGATATAATCCCAGGAGGAGGAGGGCCTCCATTCTGTATCCCCCGTAGTTTCGCACCCCCCATTTTTACAATAGAAGTATTCCCCTCCTCCACAGGTGGGATTTAGCCTGCGATCTCTGTGGTGCCCGGGACAGACATAAAAGGGAAGAGTGCTTGGCATGGCCCTTCTTTCAGGCGTGCCAGATCCTCCCCATGGGTCTAATCCCAGTCGCCCTGGAGGGCTTTCTTGGTTAGGGGCTCTAGAGGTGTCGAAGTATCCCTCTAGGTCCCATGGGCTAGGGGCCCCTATGGTTAGCTTGCATAGGTCAGGATATAGGTTAGGCCGCCAGGTTCCCACGGGGGCGGTGTTAGTTATAGACCAGACCTCGTCACCCCCAGACGTTAGTACCTGCCAGGTTAACCTTTTGAGGGCATGAGGGTCACCTTTGGCGGAGGTGAAGAGCGCTAGGAGAGGTAGGAATATAACAACTGTCATTCAACAATTTTTGAAAGTCTTATCTTGAGCGGGTTTTGGGTGCGGTGGAGCTTCCATTGGAGTGGCTCGTCCGGTCCGTCCTGGCTGGCGTCAGCGGTGCTCGTTGATGGGGCGCGCTGGACGTGTGAGGCGTGGACCCAAGCAGCAATGCCGTCTACCTTTAAGGCGGTTGGGGTGGTCAGTAGTACAGTATACGGGCCCTTCCAGCGGGGCTCAAGCGTCCTGGGCTGATGTCTCCTAACGTAGACGGAGTCCCCGATCTGGAACGGGTGTGGGCCGGTTGTGTCTCCGGGGCGGTAGACAGCCGCAAGGGGTTTCCAGATCTGGTGCTGGATAATCTGGAGCGCCTTTAGCCTGTCCTGTAAACCGGGAGTGTTAGCAAGAGGGTCAATAGCAGAATCTAGTAAGTCCGTTACTGGTGGGGGACCTCCATAGAGAACCTCGTAAGGAGTTAGCCCATGGCGCGCGGGAGTGTTCCGGACTCGGAACAGAACCATAGGGAGGAGTTGGACCCAGTCTCTAGTGCAAGTCTCCAATGTCAATTTAGTTAGGGTCTCTTTAATTGTTCTATTCATTCTTTCTACCTGACCTGAGCTCTGGGGTCTGTATGCACAAAGTAATTTCCAATTTATCCCCAGTAATCTGGCCACCAACTGACTTACCTGGGAGACAAAGGCGGGGCCGTTGTCCGACCCTATTACCTTGGGCAGTCCAAACCGGGGGAAAATTTCTTCCAGGATTTTCTTGACAACCACCTGGGCGGTTTCTCGCTTGGTGGGGAATGCTTCTGTCCAGCCTGAAAAGGTATCTACAAACACTAGGAGGTACTTGTTACCATATTTACCTGGCTTGATTTCGGTGAAGTCTACTTCCCAATTAGTTCCGGGTCTTTCTCCCCTCATCCTGGTTCCCTCAGGCATCTTGAGGTGTTTGGTATTTACCTTAGCACAAGGTACACAAGCGTCGGTTACCTGTTGGATCAGGGAGGGGAGTTTGGGAATGTAATAGGTCTGACCTTCTCTCCGGAGGAGTGCTTTTAATTTTTTGTGTCCGAGGTGAGTCCATCGGTGGAGGTGAGTCACCAGTTCTTTGGCCCTTTTCTGGGGCAGGACCGTTTTCCCTTGGTGTTTCCAGACCTTCATTTGCTCGTCATATTTTGCCCCTATTTGCTGGACGATATCTAGGTCGCTGTCTGAGTACTCGAGAGAGAGTTGCCCCGGTGTCCGGACAGCCTCTGGTACTTGTAGGGAGAGGGCCTGTGGGCCTAGTGCAGCGGCCCGTGCTGTCTCATCGGCCATCCTGTTCCCCTCTGCTACTGGGTCATTGCCTCGCTGATGCCCAGGACAGTGAATTATACTCAGTTTTCTCAGCAGAAAGAGGGAATGGAGAAGATCTTGTATTTCTTCTCTGTTTTTGATGTTTTTACCTGCTGAGGTTAGGAGAACCCTTCTACGGTATATTTCTCCATGAACATGGGCAGTTGCAAAAGCATATCTGCTGTCAGTATAAATGTTGACCTTTTTGTCCTTAGCCTTTCTTAGGGCCTGAGTTAGGGCTATAAGCTCTGCCCTTTGAGCTGAAGTCCCAGGCTCTAAGGCACTGGCCCAAATGACAGCTTTCCCACCTACCACGGCTGCCCTGGCTTTACGCTCACCATTTCGTAGAAAGCTACTCCCATCGGTGTACCAGGTTGCTTCAGCATCTGGCAAAGGCTGGTCCGTCAAGTCCCCTCTGGTGCCATGGACTTCAGCTAGGATCTGGTGGTAATCATGCATTACTAGGGAGGGGGACTCGGTTTCTGGAAGCAAGGTGGCTGGGTTTAGAGATGTAGCCGTTCCAAACCGTATCCGCTCAGAATTCAGTAACATGGCCTGATAATGGGTGACCTGGGTGTTTGAGAGCCATCGATCAGGGGGCTGGCGGATGACTGTCTCTACGGCGTGGGGGGCCACCACAGTGAGGGGTTGGCCGAAAGTCAACTTGTCTGAGTCTTTTACCAGGACTGCCACAGCCGCTATTATTCGGAGACATGGGGGCCATCCTGCAGCCACGCTGTCTAATTTTTTTGAAAAGTATGCCACGGGCCTTTTCCAGGGTCCCAGTTTTTGAGTTAGGACCCCTTTGGCTATTCCATTATGTTCATCAACATATAGCGTAAAAGGCTTGGTTACATCTGGGAGGCTCAGGGCAGGGGCGGTCAATAAGGCCCTTTTTATTTTGTCAAAAGCCAATTGCTGCTCCTTTCCCCAGTGGTAGGGGGTGTTGGATTTCATGAGAGGATATAGGGGAGCTGCCATCTCCGCAAACCCGGGTATCCAGAGGCGGCAGAACCCAGCACTGCCAAGGAACACTCGTAGTCCTTTGGCATTAGTGGGTGCTGGGATCAGGGCTACAGCCTTTTTGCGGCTCTCCGTCAGCCACCTCTGGCCTCCTTCCAGGAGATATCCCAGATAAGTCACAACTTGTCTCTGGCCTATTTCGGCCTTTTTGGCGGAGGCCCTATACCCCAGTTCTCTCAGTCTCTCAAGCAGGGCCCCCATACCTTTTACACAATCCTGTTCTGTCCTAGCCGCCAGGAGCAAATCATCCACGTACTGCAGGAGGACGAGGTCCGGATGGCCAACTCGGAAATCTGCCAAATCCCGATGCAAGGCTTCATCGAACAAAGTGGGGGAGTTTTTGAATCCCTGTGGCAGCCTTGTCCAAGTGAGTTGTCCTGAGAATCCCGTCTCAGGATCTTTCCATTCAAAGGCAAAAATAGGCTGGCTTTGAGAGCTTAACCTTAGGCAAAAGAATGCATCTTTTAGATCTAACACCGTATATCAGACATGGCTTGGGGGTAAGGTGCTGAGCAAGTTGTAGGGATTCGGCACCGTGGGATGTATGTCCTCTGTCCTCCAGTTAACCTCTCGTAAATCTTGTACTGGCCGGTAATCTCCTGTGCCAGGTTTTTTTACGGGTAATAGAGGAGTATTCCAGGGCGACTGGCAAGGTATTTAAAATGCCCAATTGTAATAGTCTCTGTATATGGGGCCAAATGCCTTCTTTGGCCTCTTTGCTCATTGAATATTGCCGGATCGATATGGGGGTGGCCGAGGGTTTTAAGTTTATAATTATGGGTGGCTGATTTACAGCTAGTCCCATTCCGGCCGTTTCCACCCAGGCCTGAGGGTAGTTAGTGAGCCATTCAGAATCTAGGGGCTGCACGGATGGTGGAGAGTCCTCGTGCAGCCGGTGTTCATCCTCTAGGCACAAGGTCAGTACCTGGAGGGGCTGCCCTTCTGCGCCAGTAATAGTGGCCCCTTTTTGCTGAAAATGTATCTGGGCCCCTACTTTTGAAAGAAGGTCTCTGCCTAGGAGAGGGTAAGGGCAGTCTGGGACCAGTAAGAAGGAATGCGTTACTTGCCCAGTGCTCAGGTGGACCTTCCGTTCGGTTGTCCATCGATATAACTTGCCTCCAGTTGCCCCCTGAACCCAAGACGTTTTAGAGCTCAAGGGTCCTTTTGCCTCAGTTAAAACTGAATGTTGAGCCCCCGTATCGACCAGGAAGGTCACCGGCTGTCCCCCCACTTTAAGGGTTATCCTAGGCTGGGGGGGGGGGGGCGGGGTTCCTGGCCCTGACATCCCTAATCTTCATCTTCTAGGGACAAAACAGGAATGGGCTTCTTTTTAGGTCCCTGCGTTTGGCCCTTCCTTGGGCAATCTTTAACCCAATGTCCTTTTTCCTTGCAGTAGGCACACTGGGTCTCGTTCAACCCGTGGTCCTCTTTTGTCTCCCAGGTCCCTACTCTGTCCTGACTTACTCTGCCCTGAGCCCTGTACTACGGTGGCCAGTATAGCCTTCTATTAACCTCTCCAGAAAACCTGCCGGCGTCTCATCTTTTCCCTGCACTATAGCACGTACCTTTGCCAAATTAGTGGGGCGACGCCCTGCCCCTTTGAGACCCGCTAGGAGTACCTGGCGATAGAGACGGAGCCACTCCCTACCAGCAACAGTGTCGTAGTCCCAGGTCGGGCGAACCAAGGGGAAAACATCCTCAATCTCATTAGGCAGCTGGGTCGGCCTCCCATCCGCCCCCGGGACGTTTTTCCGAGCTTAGAGGTAGACGCGCTGTCTCTCCTCCGTGGTGAGGAGAGTCTGCAGGAGCTGTTGGTGGTCATCCCGGTCGGCTGATCGAGGTGTCCATTGGGTCCTGGCTGGAAGACCAGGGCCTTCACCTGCAAGATAATGTCAATATTAAAAGTTCCGTTCCTGGGCCACCCGACGTTGAAAGCCGGCCACTCCGAGGAGCAGAAGGTGACCCATCTTCATCTTCTGACTTCGACCGAGAGATTGTGTGCCCGGCCGGCGACTTCTTTCCAGTGATCTAGAGTGAGGCTTAAAGGGGTGGTTACAGTCTGCCCCATGGGTGTAGAGAAGAGGTGAGCGGTGAGGAGGAGGACAGGAAAGGAAGAAAAACACGGAACGAACAGACGCACACGAACGACAGGACTGGCGCGGCAGATTCAGATGGGAGCGGTCGCGAACAACGACCCTCCCCGAAGAGGAGGGAGTGCCGGGGCTCCGTTCCTCTTCCAGACCACTCCGGAGTCCGACTCCGGAGGGGGACCAGGGGTCTCGGGCACGTCTGCCTCCCCCGCTGGTCCAAATACAGAACACAGAGTACAGCGTCCTGCAGGCACAATACAGACCCGGCACAAAACAGACCCGGCCAGTCAGACAAACGGACGAGACAGATAGGACATTTAGCGAGCTCGGTCTTACCTCCTACCGGTCTTAGGATTGAGTCTGGGGCGTCTCAGATCCGGGACGAGCCCCCAAATGTTGGACCCTGGCTCACGGGTGCCAACGTGGCCCGGTGGACGCCCCAGAGACTCAGACCCCAGACAGGCAGATGCAATTAGCAAGAGGGTTTATTGAACGTTTGCGCAAACGGGCTCTCCGCCTCCGAGGAGGAAAAGAGCCCCGATTAGCAATTACAGGGATCTTTTAAAGGCAAAAGGAAAGAAACCGCCTAAAGACAAAAGAACCGCGGGAGTCGCATAGCATCCAGGTTGATTTCACAGAGGGTCAACATGAACCTATTCAGGGACATTCCAATCAGGGTGTGGGGGGAAATGGTTTTCTTATTGTGAACAGAATGCTTTTAGTTGCTAAAATTTCAGGAAGGCGCCTGGATGGGCTGCCTCTGGGTTAGGGCTGGCCCTACTTAGAAGGGGGAAGGTTTCTTCAGTAGTCAAGGAAGACTTCCCTGAAGAGGTGACATGTGAGCTAAGACTTGAAAGATGAGAAGCCAGCCATGGGAAGAGAGGAGAGAAGAAGCAACAATTCAGAGGGATTAGCAGGAGGTGATGGGACAGAAGAGGGAAATAGGTTGATGTGTTCTAGTCATCAAAAGGAGGTCACTGTGACTGGGGCACATAGGACAGAAGGGAGGAGAAATTCAGTACCTAAGAGTTAGATATCAGCAGATCCAGCCACCCTTCTGTGTGGAGGGCTCAGTGCAGGTCTGACAAAGTAAGCCCCAAGCTCTGAGGACACAGCAAGTGCATAGACCTGGGGTGTGGGGGAGGGAAACTCTAGGTACCTAGACTGGCATCTGGCACATTCTAAGAGCTCTCCTACCCAACTTTCTTAACCCTTAACATGTCTGCTAACCCAGGATTCCCAGATGCCGGAACCCAGGACCCAAAACTCATGAGTGTGTTTATGTGTGTATATATGTATATGTGGGTGTATAATAATAATGATTACCAAATAGTCAAATGGCATTGGGGAAATCTTCAGCTCCAAACTCAATCACAGCACTAGAAACCAACACACCTGGCTCACTGCTGAGAAATTTGCATTAGTAGTCATTTGTGGGGCACTTGGGTGGCTTAGGCAGTTGAGCGTCTGACTCTTGGCTCAGGTCATGATCTCATGGTTGTGAGTTCAAGCGTTGCATTGGGCTCTGTGCTGAGCCTACTTAAAAAAATTCATTTGTGTAGCCACAGCCCACTTATGCCTAATCGCTATGCTATTCAATAGCAGCAGGATGGGCTGGTGCTCCAGAGCTGAGTGAAATTTGCTGAGCAGGTTAACAAATTTAGTACTAAGTTCTGTTTATGGAAGCCCAGAACTCTGGAACAAGGAGGCTCAGCTCACAGGACAGGGGGAGGGGAGGCAGGGCAGTGGAGGAGGGAGGGGAGGAAACAGGCACAGAGTGAGCCTGCAGTCTACTCCAGCTGCTCTGCAAAGCCTCACTGCACCCCCATTATTCTATTGAATCCTCGAAACAATTCATGTGGGTCCTATTTCCCCCATTTCCACTCCAGGGTTTTAGACTCAAGTTCAGGAGTGGAACCCAGGGCCCCCTCTTCCTCACTCAAGTTCCCACCAGAAGTTGGGATTTCACTGCCAGTGATTCAAGGACCTACTTTATCCACTCAGAACTTAAGTAAAAGAGCAGAGCAGTTCCTTAAGCCTGATGTGGGGAGGTAATGTGAAAGGGGAGAATTTGCCAAAACTCTCCAGAAATAGTGAATGCCCAGGAGGTGAGCAAAGGTATTGAGAACTGGGGAACCTATTTGCCTGCATAAAAGAGATAATGTTTTTGAAACTATCAAATGGATCCATCTATCCTGCATCTTCATGAATCATGATGTTCTGTGTCTCCTTACCCCACCACTCCTCGACCTATTGGATCAAGGACATTTATTACTTTTAAGAGGAGTGCAGAGACCATCTGCAATCAAAAGATCGTAGTTTAGCTTTGAGGCTATACAGAGACAGTAGTTTTAAGACTTGGCCTGAGAGAAAAAAGTTTCTTAATTCCAGAACCTACCCTACAAATTAAGGGAAGTGTGGAAGTCTGAGCCCAAAGCTAGATAAGCTGTCATGTGATAGGATTAGGGAAATGAGGTCAGGGACGTGCCCATCCTGTGAGAAGATAGTGGTCTCTTCCAGACCTGGGGGTGAAAACAAGAAAGAAGGAGACTCAGAGAGAATGTGAATTAGAAAAAGACACTGCCTGGTGTCAGGGACTCATGCCCCTACCTCCCTCGAACTCAGCCCCAAAAATGGGAAGGTAAGGAAATTGCACTCCCAGTAGGGGAGGGAAAAAGACAAGATCAGAGGGGTCATTGCTTCACTGAAGCTCTAAAAGGACACTATGCCTTTTGATTCCCCCATGCCCACTTGGACCAGCCAAGATAGTAAAGAAATAGCAGGAGGCTTTGGGTACCTGTCAGAACACCATCACAAAAGCAGAGCCTCTGCAAGTTCTACAGGAATAAGGCATTTCATGCTCAAGGAGAACTTACATGGATGTGGGAGGACCCGGACCTCGGGAAGGAAAGGAAGGGAGAGGGCCAGAGAAATAGCCACTATCTTGTCTGCCACAGCACTGACCGAGTGGACATATCATAGTTTGCAGAGAAATACAAGAAACCATTCTTGTCTGCAAAGGGAGACCACAAATGGGGACCTCTTTTGTGCAGGATTCATGGCAATGAAGATGGAGAAAAGAGAGCAAATTTGAAAGATGCATGGAGGTGGGTCTGAAAGATCATAATGGTGCAGCTGGGGATGGTGCCAGAAGGAGCCCCAGATTCCTGGCTTGAGCCACTGAGTGGACTAAGTGCAATCTACCAAGATGGGGCCAGTGTAGG